ACGAGGACATGAACAAATAGAATAAATGATTGTGGTTTAGAGGCGTATCATACATAAGATTTTCTAAAGACTTTTAGACATGTTAGGACACAACAGTTAAGGCTTGGGTCAGAAGAGGTACTAGTACACCTAGAGAGGGATTCTGTCATTGGGAAACACAGGACTACTTTTTTGTATATTTCCAAGAAGGTCATATATATTAGAGTGTTGATCGGGATTATACTTAGGTATCCAATGATTCAGACTGCAGGTGCACAGTCTTATCGTGTAGTTTTAAAAGATATCGAACCACAGAGACTGATGAATCAATCTACCGCCTTCTATTGTTAATTCGCAAATCTAAAGCTAATGAATGTTTGGTTGGGTTGTAGGGAAAACTAAATACTAAATTAAGTTGGATCTTTAATAATAAATGAGCGTAACTACCAGTATGCAATAGTCGAACCTCGGGAACTAGCGACCGGTTGGGTGTCTTTATATTTTCAAAACAGCTTTCAGTAAAACTTATTTAGTTTAAAAACCCTCGTCTCACACTGTCGTTTTGTTGATCTAGGCTATGCAGTTAAGTCCTAACGTACGCTTCCGCCATCCCGCAGGAGTTAAAAACACCTTTTGAAAACTAAATAAAATCTTAATTAACTTTAAAGTGCTTCTGCTGTATTTTAAGCTAATGCCTAATTACTAATGTCTAGTTAAAAGATCTCAAGCATCCTCTTTGTTGACCCTAACCTCTATCTGTTCTTTACTTTCGTAACAAAACAATTTAATGATTAAAAATAGTAACTTAGACTAGAAAATAAGGTTTTGTAGTAAAAATAATCCCAACTAAGTCACTCGATCCCTTGGTTAAGTGACTTTACGTACCGGTATACGAATTCTAGCCTAACATAATATCAGAACAAATCACAAAATAATTCCAGAGACATACGAAAATAAACATGATTATATTGATTAAAAGTAATATAAATTCGTAAACATAAACCTGGTAATAATTCTGGATATAGAAGCACTCCTGCACAAACTGTAGGCTTTGCTTCGATCAGGGAACAGATGTAACCGTACAATAAAAAATAATGCTAGAGGAAATATAGAAATTGTTGGGAAATAAATAATGCTTAAAGAATATTTGCTTAGAGTAAAAACGAATTCTCCAAAGTTTCTGCCAAAAAAAGGACTCCCTTTTTCGTATGGTCCAAGGTCCTATTTATAACCCCTGTGTGATAAGTTCGTTCTCGGTAATGTAGGAACACTTTGTGTTCCTTTGAGAAATAATAGGACCACTAAATTTGTTACGTTCTTCATGCTTTGACTGAGTGGATCAGATAAAATAGGGTGATCGTTGGATTCATTTTAGAATTGGTTTCCTTCCGTTGGATACGTGGTCAAGAGGGAGAAAGTGGCCTTGTGACGTTCGTCACGTCCAAGTGACGATGGTCACTTGGTCTATCTCTTTGCGTGACGGGCGGCAACTCTCCTTGACGATCGTCAAGGCCATTTGCATGGTGGGCCACGTGCTGACAAACGTGCTCACATGCTTGATGGGCTTAAGCTGATTTCTTCTCTTGGGCCCTTTTTGCTACCTTTGCACCTTTTTTTCTTCATTTCTTCCAAAGTGTTCAACTTAATGTATATTTGCAAAAATAGAAAAATACCTGCATAATACCTATAAAATAATTTAATTTAAACTAAAGTATGAGAAATATTTTGTGTATATCAAGCCATAAATATCATATATTTGTGTGTCATCAAACTCCCCATACTTAAACTTTGCTTTTCCTCAAGCAAATGCTAAGTACGATGTTTTTTTAAACATGGTCAGATGCACGGTTATGACTCGGATCAACTAATATATGGCTTCATTGTGTTTTTGTTAGAAAATCGATGCCTCGATTCATGCTCCATTACTACGACAATGACACTAGACAGTCTCATTTTACGTAAACTAGTTACAGGTCCTATCATAGCCCACCTCGAGTATTTGTCTTGTTTTGTCCTTTTCATTCTAGCGCAATCACATTAAGCCCTTTATCTTTCCACGCACGTACCAGAACAGACGGTTAGTGGTTATGATCCTTTTAAGCCTTAGAGGTTTCTGGCACAGTAATGTGGCAACCATTTTCAATTCAATGGTTGGATACGGGGGATCAGACCGTAATCTGCCCTACCGAGTTCAGTACCAGATGCTCCTGAACCATCTACCAAATGATTTTTCATGTTACTTTGTAAGGTTTACATCCTTTGGATTAAACGATCGGGTAAGGATCGTCCAATTTAATTGGTGTGTTTCCTTGCAACATTTTGCTGAAATATTATGTCATCCACTTATATTCATCGACTTCCTGCGTAGTTTGTGTTTAAGACGGTGCTGACTGCTAATATAAACTACTCAGGGTTACTACAAAGACTAAACTCAGGGCGTTGGAATAACAGGTACTTGAACTGATCTATCATACTCTGGGGTTGTAGAATGTCTAGACTAGAAATTTCGCTTAATCTTGCCATAATTCCTGACAATTAAAGATCTTGCAATCTATGTACTTGTCGAGTGAGTCAAAAAAAAAATTTATAGGGCCCAAAAAGAAAGGGGAGTCTAAAAGAACAATACAAATTTCTTCAATAGATAACTTGATAAATTTTTTTTATTTAATTAGAGATAACGGAAGGGAAATTACAAAGAAAATAAAGATTATTAGAAAAGGGAAATACTTCCTCCCCCATACTTGAATCATACATTGTCCTCAATGTATTGACAGAAGATGGAAAGGGGAAATGGAAACTAGACAATCATTCTTCCTCCTCTTTTCTTCGGAATCTGCCACGTGTCCTTGCTCTTCGACGTGCTTGCTCACCTTGTTTGGAATATTCGCCTTCATTCCTCTGAGAAATGACGTTATGCAAGTCGTCAACACAAAGTGTTAAGGCTCGTATATCTTCCGTCATTCCTGCGGTGAATTCCAACATACTTTTGATCATGCCTGCGAGTGTAGTCGTTTTGGTCTCTCTGCATTTGTTGCATGAGATTCATCATTTCAATTTGGCGCGTCTCGAGGCTCTGGTAGCATTGAGTGGACAGCTGGTTTTGCTGCATTATTGCGGCATAGATTGCATCGATGGTGGCGGGATTGTTGGCGTGTTGTGGTTGGGGCTCTTGCTGCTCTAATTCTTCTTCGATTTCATCAGAGGAAGCGTTGTTGGCCTCACCTTGATTTCCTTTCTCATTTTCTCTGGGTTCTGGGGCGTTCAGGTTGTAAAGCCAATTATCCAGATTGCCCAAATTTGTACGATTATGATTTGGCATGATCACGTTATGAACTTTTGCATTCTTAACCATTAGATAGTACCCTTCAGCTTCTCGCACTTTGATCAGGCGGCCAGCTCTACAGTTATCAATATCCATATAAACTGCTGGCAGCGGAGGTAGGAGTTGAATCCTTTCCCCCAAGTTCAGGTGAACTGCGATTGTGGTGACAATGCCTCCGATACAAAAAGGCGTAGTCCCGTCTCTCGTAAAAAGGTTTTGAATATAGGCCATCATTAAAGTAACGGGATTAAGACGGAGGTCTTGTGAAAAGGTACAGTGAAGAGCATACAACTCTTTAGTGTTGACTTTGTTGTTGTTTGCTCTTCCTGTAGCGGTGCAAATCGGAGATCGAGCTATTAACTAACTCAACTCGCAAAAGCAAGAGTCGCCACCGCGCTTTATTATTTCCAAGGGAAAGGGAAAAAGAGCAAAATAAAACCCTAAAATATGCAATGTAAAATAATACTTATAAGTAATGAAAATACAATGTGTTTTGTGAAAGAGATCGAGAGTTCGGGGGTTGGTTATACAAAGGGAAGGTATTAGCACCCAATGCATTTGCGGTACTCCGCAGGAACCTTTGAAATATATTTTTTTTGGTTAAAAAAATGGTTCGTTTGGTTAAAATGATTTGTTTGGTCAAAGTGGGTGCGAATGAGATTTTGAAGATACGACGACCTAGTGTCGAAGTTTTGACTTAAAAAGGTGAGTTTGAAAATGGAGTCTTTTGGGAAAATTATCTTAAGTTTAGCAAAATAGTAAACAAACAAAAAAAATGAATGAGGGTATTCACACGATTGGATGAGATGTATTTGATGACGTGAAGTCAACAAATTTAATTTTTTTCCCTTGGAGTTTAGACGGGCGAAAGATACGAAGATTAAATGATCGAGAATAAAGTTAATTAAAATGACAATTAAACAATTAAATAACAAAAATTAAATAGAAGAATAATTTACACTGACATGTATTTTTGAATAATTAAATAAGTAACAAAAATTAAATAAAAAATTAATTTATAAACGCATGTATTTTTTATATTTTATTGTTCGATATTTTTTTAAGCGAGAATTAAACAACCTGATAACTAAAATAATTTAGTTAGATTAACTAAAAACCAAATAAAAATGAATAAACTGTAAAATCTAATCTAACTAAACTATGGAGTGTTAATTGGCATGAAGAGGTGTCAAGTTAGAATACTAAGTTCAAGAGACCCTAAATCAAATAAACCTTAATCTAATTTACACATGAAACAAACTGAATTATTAAAGTAAAAAAAAATATAAATTAGAAGAAACAAGGTTAAAGAGGGCGCTGCATCATGGATAGTTTCTTTTCAATAAATTTGTTATGTTTGACGCTTCCAAGTTCCAACTTTTAATAATAAGCATATATCATATGACATAACATTATTAAATAACAATAGAAACCAATAATAATTTAACGAAAGAAAAAAAGGTAGAAACTAACAATAGATCTCCAATTCTATCTCATAAGTCCCTTGTTTCTCAAAGTTCAGAATAACACGCCACTCTTCTTTTCAATACTCTTTCTCTCTCTTTCTTTCTCGATCCACCCTCTACTTTCAGAATCAAACATCAAAATTTAAAGAATAACAAAATAATGTTTACCTACGACTGAAGTTTGGTGAGGCACGCGGAGGCTAGAGCACCATGGTGGTTGTGTTGGTGTGCAGATGGAGAGCAGAGCTGCTACGACGCGGCGGTTAGGATGCAAGGACGGTTGGTCGGAGATCACAGTGATTGGAAGCTTCATACGGTGATGTTCGGTACGGAGGCTATGAAGGAGGGTTGTTTAGCCGGCATTTTCGACGGTTGTTGATGGGTTTGAATGGAGGGAGTTGTCTATATTTCACAATGTCAGATTCAAAGCAGAAAGACTGTGTCGTATGAAGGTTATGGTTTTGTTGTTGTTTGTTCTGGATCGATCTTCTACAGGTACTTTGAAGGGTATTTTGTTTAATGGCACAGAGACTTTGGATTGAGGTGGAAGAAGGCTGAAACAGATTTTTTTGTTGGTGATTTTCTGTGCTTATTGAACAAAGATTTCGAGGTGTTTTTTTATGTATTTCTCTTATGTGATATCTCCTCTTGCATCCTCCTTTTCTGAGTTGATGGGAGCTTAAATTTATAGGGGAATACTGATGGAAATTGAGGGGGAAATTGGATAGGTTTCAATAGATACGGCTAACTGTTTTATGCCTTTCTTGTGCAGGTTTTTGTATATGACCTTTTGGGCCAGTTTTGGACAGCAAAGATATGGACAATACAACATATTGTATGCGGGTTTTTGGAATGACTTGTTTGGACTAATATGCAGGGTTGTTTCTGGTTTGGGGCAGCAGTATGGTGGAGTTAGTTTATGCATAGCTTTGACTTGTTTATGGACAGTATGCAGAGGAAAACAGAGCAGCAACAACAGGTTAATGGGATTTAATTTCCTCTTGTACTTTATGGTTTCATTACATGTATTTTCTCTCTCTTTTCCTTTTGAGATTGGACTAATTTTGTATTCATGTGGCTTATTGGACAACTTTGAGCATGGCAGTAATAACATGTTTTTTTTGGACTGGTGTGAACTGTTATGACAGGCTTAGCAGTTTTTTTTAGAGTTAGCATTTGGATTGGTATAGCAGGGTTTTATGGGCAGCAAGATAGCAGGTTTTTGTTAGCATAATAAACTGTTTTAATAGTAGTATAGCAGTAACATAGGCTAATCTTGGCTAGGCATGGCTTTGTACTGAACTGATTTTGGACTATTTTGTGACAGTTTTGACAGGTCTTGTTGCAACTTTAATCAAGGTTTTGAAACTGTTTGTGTTTTGAATATAAGGCTGCCATGAACTGGTTTTAAATGATGAAATAATGAAGCAAGGCAAGGCATGGCAACTTGAAGGCTGAGCATGAATATTGAACTTGATGTTTAGGCTTGAAGATTAGGACTTTTGACAAATTTCATGTAATTTCTTTATATTTAAAAATGTAATAACATGATAATTTGTAACCACTTCATATTGCAATGAGCTTTGAATCTTGTATTGAACTCTTTGAATGGATATTGCAAAACATGAGTAGGATTATTCAAAGCTTAGACTCAACATTTATGTTACTTTTGAAACTTGAATGAAAATATAACTTGAGCAAATTCTCTTAATGAACTCATGAAATATTCTTGTGATAAGAAATTGGTTCAAAATACAAGATCAAAGTTGAGTGGTTTGTAAGGTTTTTGTCATATGATTTGAATTCTCATGATGTACTTGAAATTTGTGACATAAGAAATTAGAAATTCCTCTTGTAACACAAAAATGATGGTGATGTATCTTGGAACTTAAATCCAAACAAGTCTTGAATAATCCTAGTAGTGTAAATTATGTAAAAAAATGTGTTTGGGTTCTCAGTCTACACTTTGAATGAGATTTGAATGGTAGATGAATGAGTATCTTGTATTTGCTCCTCAAATTCCAAACAAATTACATGACTTGATCTTCAAAATTAAGTAAACTTCCATCATGAGAAATTAGTTCTTTTGTATATCTTGAATTCAAAAGCAAATTCATATGAATGAATTGCGCTTCGCACACTTGAATCGATTTGAAATTAAAAAAAGAGTTATTCGAATTGTTCCTTAAATCTTCTTCTTTACAAAACCATATCATCAATTCATGGTAACTTTCCATACGAGCCAATAATACAAATTGCGCCTCTAAGAGGTTTAACCAATAATCCACCTTAATCCAATGATTGCTAATGTTCAATTGCAAATGACTTGAGGCGGGCGACAAGCAATTACTGAATCATTGAACTAGAACTCTAGTTTCATGAATTATCCCAACATAAGAATCAAATGTCTTTTGAGAAAACGTCTGTGGCATAAATTGAACCTCGATCTTTGAAGTAATCTCATAGACAACGCTACTTGTGATACTTCGCAAAAGAATCATCTCAGGATGTTGAAAATTGAAGAAGTCGTGACCGTTTGAACTTGAACTTGCAAGAGTTGACTTTTGGTCGAAATGCTTTGAATCGACTTGCAAACTTGATCTTTCTTCGCATTCTAAAGCATCTTGATGCACATGTAAACCAGTGATGATGAAATCTTGATTGTGCTTTAGGGAATTTTAGAAGAAGCTTGAGACCACTTATCGAACAAGGTATGGAAATAAACACACGATCCTCTAAAGATCCTCGAGACAGAAGCTATCACACTTGAAACAACCTTGATCAAAATAAGCCTGAATATAGCTTTAGAAGTCGTGTCTTGACGAATCAGTCTTCGAGAATCAATAATCAATTGTACTTCTGGCTTGAAGAACTCAAAACCCTAATTGAAGCGCAACACCTGATGTCCTTGATTTAGACTTGTCTCTGCACATGAAATCAAAGAAACAAAAAAACACACATTTCGTGCTTGATTAAAAGTTAGTGATACATAGTCTAAGAATGTTCAAAATACTTGACAATTTTCGCATAGTCAATGCTCGAAGGTGAGAGGTTAAAACCGACTGTATTTAGTGACCTTGACTTCTGTAAAAAAATGCAAAAATAAAAATGGGATCTTAGGTCAAAAATTGGGGTATGACAGCTGCCCCTATATTAGTTTCTTCTATCCGGAGATATGAAGATTGGAATCTTCATTTCGACGAGATTGAAGGGACTTAAATATAGAATACACAATTTTTGGCCTTAAGATACCGCAATTATGTTTTTGATGTGATATGAATGTAATATTTTGAATTTAATGAGGAATGATACCGCATGAGATAAACTAATGCTGAAGAAACCAAGCACATTATACAGTCATCCCACAGGGGAAGAGATTATAACTCCACTGGGGAAACAGAGTCATAGACTTCAAATGAAAGACTCCTATTAGAGAATAACTTTGAGGGAATAAATGCATTATTTACATCAGTGTTGAGACTGGAAAAGAAATGATTTACATCAGTACGGAGACTGGAGAAAGGAAATGATTGACATCAATATTGTGATTGGAAAAGGAAATGATTGGCATCAGCACTGAGACTGGCAAATAAACATCTCTGACTTCTAAATTATACCAAGAACGGTAACACATTCCTTCCTTAACCAAGATATCGCTTCAAAAGGATAAAATACAAGCTTCCCCATGAAACTTTTCCGAAGAGATGTCGTTTTCTGAGTAAACATTATTGTTGGGGATACACAAGCTGCTCAAATAAAGAGGTCGCCACTTGCTATTTTTCAAAGGTATCAATAACATACAAGTTGCTCATGAAGAGACCGCCGCTTGCTGTTTTTCAAAGATATTAATAACATACAAGTTTCTCATGAAGAGACCGTTGCTTGCTATTTTTCAAAGATATTAATAACATACAAGTTGCTCATGAAGAGATTGCCGCTTGCTGTTTTTTCAAAGGTATCAATAACATACAAGTTTCTCATGAAGAGACCGCCGCTTGCTGTTTTTCAAAGATATTAACAACATACAAGTTGCTCATGAAGAGACCGCCGCTTGCTGTTTTTTCCAAAAGTATCAATAACATACAAGTTACTCCTAAAGAGACCGTCGCTTGCTGTTTTTTTTTCAAAATTACCAATAACACAAGTTGCTCACGAAGAGACCGCCACTTGCTATTTTTTTCCAAAAGTATCAATAACATACAAGTTGCTCATGAAGAGACCGCCGCTTGCTGTTTTTTCCAAAAGTATCAATAACATACAAGTTTCTAATGAAGAGACCACCACTTGCTGTTTTTTTTCAAAAGTATCAATAACATAGAAGTTGCTCATGAAGAGACCGCCGCTTACTGTTTTTCAAGGGTATCAATAACATACAAGTTGCTCATGAAGAGACCGTCGCTTGCTGTTTTTTTTTCAAAGGTAACAAAAACACACAAGTTGCTCATGAAGAGACCGCTGCTTGCTGTTTTTTAAAGGTGTCAATAAAATATTGTGAAGATATTGCTGGAAGTGAGAATTAATAATTTCATTGGGGATAGACAAACTGCTCATGAAGAGACCGCCATTTGTCATAACATAATGAAATTCAGAAATAATCAAACTGCTCAAATAAAGAGTCAATCGCTTGTTGTCACGTTGATATTCCAGAAGAATGTTATGGTAACACTACTAAGGAATAAAGTTCATCTTCAATGGGGAACCATGAATAAATCCTTCCTGAGGAGACCAAGTATTTACATACGCAAGATCAACGCACTCTCCATCTAGGTTTCACAGCTTAGAGAGATTCACCAAGCAACATCTGTAATAGACAAAACGCAATCCAAGAATAAACTGGAGAGAAACAGTCAAACAAGACTCTACCAGATGAGGAATAAACTCAATGACTTATCCTGTCCTGAGACAGAAAGAAAGGCTAAAGCAACGACTCTTCCACGAGGGATAAACTCAGTGGGGAATTAGAAAGGATGCACTTTCTGCTTAAGTTGACACTCTATTTGGAAAGATCAAATACGCTATTTGAATAGACATAACCAAGGTATACGAACTCAAAGACATCAACAAATACAAATGTGCATGCATGATGCAAGTGTGAATAAATACATGAATCTCATGTATATGTTTGACAAAACAGATAGAAGAGATAAGCTGGAGATGACAAGACCTCATAGTTTAACTAGATACTCGGATAACCTTAATAAGATGGGAACATTACTAGAGATAGAACAAAAGCCATCATTGAAGCAAAGTCCTTTTACAAGGCTTAAATCTCTTTGGAGAGGAAGATTTTTTTTTGGTAGAAAACCCGAAGTCCAATCTTCTAATGTCAATAATTCGTTGAAAGGATAACAATATGAACAATGCTTCAGTTGGAAAAAAGTCTTGCTTAGCTGGAGATACTGGGAAAACCACCCTCTAATGATGTGTGCAAAACATGTCACACATCTTGACAAATCTGGATTGCCCCTGGGACTAATTTTGGATGCCCCAAGTTTATTGTTGATAAGCTGTGTGATGCACGACAATTCTTGCGAATAACTTCACTTCAAGCTATATGGCTGATGAGGAGAAATCGTCTCAAGAGGATTTTACAAAAGACCTAGCATCCACCATGCTCTGGTGTCTTCAAACTCTTAGAGATATTCGTCGAATCTCGACGTGATTTCCCCGGATTGATTGTAGTTGGCACAACAAAGTCTTCAAATTTTTCCCCAAAAGGGTAAACAAGTTGGAGGAGCATTAACTGGGAGAAGCAACATGTATGTGCTTAAGGTCTTCATGTGGAATGCCTCCGGATATGATTTTTTGAAATGATTCGCCAATTACTCAACATAGTTTCAGGCCTTAAAAGAATAAACTCATCGCTAGTGCTTATATGTGAGCTTCCTTGATATCAAACAAATGTTTTGCAGTTAGAAAAAGTTTATTATGAGAATGAAAATTCTAATGCAACAGTTATGTAAGTCTTGAAGATTTTGAAAAGATATCGCACAAATTTTGCGAGTTAGAGCACCATTAATTTTTGTATAGCAAAAGCATATGATACCAACATAACTATTTAACAAACATTCATGGGATTCAGGAACACCATCTCATTGAAGTATGCTTTCAAAATAACCTTGCTTCAATTAGGACTTTTGAAGGTTGTAACATGGCCTGGTTCATGGTTTTTTAGAAAAAAGATTTTTAAGGCTCAAAATTTATAGGTGCCCACCCATTCTTCGTGATGTTCTCCAATCCTATGTTCAATTAATTCAACATGAGTGTTCATCTCTCAAAAGGATTGTGTGACGGTTAAGGAAATGACGAGGCTTTCAGTGTAGCAACCACCTTTATGTCTTCGTGTTTGTAGTCACCAATTTGTTCTTTTCTGAGGACTTTTCTTTGTATTCCTTTCTTTGCAATTTTTATTTTCCCTAACTTTTGCCTGGACTAACTCTTTTGAATTGATAGTCCAGCGGGATGCCTTAATTTTGGCCTAAGTCGCATATTTTCAAGTTTTCAACTTAGCAGGCTTTTTCTTTTTACTTGATTTTTTATTTCCAAACAAAACTGTGACATTAGCTTGTCTTTACTTGTTGAGAGGATTGTGACTTCCTCGTTTCTTGATGAATGAGGGGTAACATTGTGGCTCCATATCTTCTGGATTCATTATACACGAAGGATGGACATCGTAGTTTCTCTTTAGAAATATCTTTCTTATGAATTTTGAACACTCAATCAGATTAACTGAAAATTACCCTGCCCCAGGTTAAATTTTGAGGGTTTTTTCGTATAGAAAAAGAAACTCCTACTTCAAGGCTCAAAATGGGTTAGCAAGGGATTATCTTTCTTATATCTCCGGTGTTTAGGGATTTGAAACAATGCTTGTACATCGTCAGTAAGATTTTATTCAAGAAGCATACAACCAGAGATTTTGTGTTTTTCAGATCATCATCCTCCCTCCAATCTCTGCCTATGCAAGAGAATGAGCAACAAGTTGGTATCATAATGCAAAAGCAATTTAAAATTTGAAAACAAATATGAGTGAAACGAATGAATTTCTTCAAGACAAACATACTCATTGTATTAAGATAATCATTCAGATGCAAACAAGTTCTTACATGCAAACAATGTTTTGATAAACAAGAAAAATTACAAAAAGCATAAATAAGTTAATAATCTGGGAAGGCTTTCCATCTGGACTTGAATTACCGAAAACATCCTTCAAAAATCAAAGTCACCATCAATCGTGTTTACTCTTCGGCGCATGCTTGATTTGAACTTCAAAACCAACGTCCTTGAATGACAAGATACCACTTCTGACCAACTTCTGAACCTCAATCTTCAAAGCAAAGCAACCCTCCAAGTCATGCCCAGGAGCACCTTGATGAAAGGTACAAGCCAAATCAGCTTTGTAGTACCAATGTATCTTCTCGGGAACCTTCGATGGAGGCCGGGTCTGAACCAAATTCCTCTGCATCAGGATAAGGAACAACTCTGTATAGGTAATTGGAATTGGATCAAACTGAGATTTCCTATGATTAAAAACTTGCTGATTCTGTTGATGAACTCAAGCTGCAGAAGGTAAATTGAATGTAGGGATGATATGAGGAACATGATGATTCTGGCAATGATTATTTCTTCCTCTGACTCTCTTCTCAGAAAATTTATTATTAAACTTCTTCACACCACTAGCTGAGCCACCATCTTCATATAAACATCCCTTTCAGACATCTTCTTCTAGATGCACTCCCATATTCACCTTGTTAAGAAAGTCACTAGGCGCATTAATTATCATCTTCTCATGAAAGAATGATTTTAGAGTTTCAGTGAAGACCTTTTCCATCACTTCTTCTTTCTTAGAAGGATTGACTTGGGCGGCAACCAAAATTTCAACCAAACCAGTTAAGTGCTCCGTACTAGCTTTCAAATTAGTCATCTCTCTGCGGAGTTCAGAAACCGCTTGTTTGATATTCTCCATTGTTCTCTTAGCGTGAGTTTTGTACAAGTTAGACCAAAGAAAAAATAAGACTTGTAAATGACCTTTGAAAGTGAAACAAAAAATGTAGAATGATGCTTGATATGTGAATGTAAAAAGAGAGTTTTTATTTGATTTTCAAGATATTAAGTTATAAACATCAAAGTATGAAGATAGAAGATGAATTTTAAATTAGATCAAAACATTGATCAAGTTATCATCAAGATCAATCATCCATTTTGGTGGATTAGGGTTTCCACCCCATCAACACCCAAGATCCATTGAGCTTGAAGAAACTTGTGATGTTTACAAAGAAAGACTTCCAAGTTCCTTGAAAATCAAGTGAAAAAGGGTTTCATGGATGTATGAAGGCATGGCTATGAAACAACCACAAGCAAGGTCACAAACAAAGTCTAAAGGTTCAAAGTCACGAGCATGGAGTCAAGGGTAAAAACCATCCCCAAGGTATGTACTAAAGGTTTAATCACACTTGTAAAACAAGGTTCTAAAAGTTCCCAGAGTCTACATTCCTCCTTCGAATATTACCAACGTCTCGATTACTTGATAATTAGTAATATTCTCAAGAGAAACTCGTCTGAGTGCAACATCGCGTGACAACTACCTCCGGATTACTCTGTTATAGTCTCTGCACTACACCCAATAGGCCAAGATGGGTTAAGGGTTCTACGGTTCTCAGCTTCTCTAGCTCCCAGGTCAAAATCAATAATGTCTTCTCGATTACTCGGTAAACAAATACTACATTCAAAGGGGCTTCCACTGAGTGGGGGATTTCATGCCTCCTTCTTCGGGATTACTCCCTCAAAGTTAACATGACTATACCGCCCGTCCTATTCCTAAGTGTAACTTAGTCCGGGTATAGGACTTGTCCTTTGTAAATATCATCAACACCTAAATAATCATAATATATCACATATAATAAAACAAACAAGTAATAATAAATAAAAAACAGATATGACAAATTAGGTTTAACCCACTTAGGGATGGATCAGGAAGAGGTCAATCTGTCCCCAACAGAGTCGCCAATTCTGTAGTGGTGAAAATCGGAGATCGAGCTATTAACTAACTCGACTCGCAAAAGCAAGAGTCGCCATCGTGCTTTATTATTTCCAAGGGAAAAGGGAAAAAGAGCAAAATAAAACCCTAAAATATGCAATGTAAAATAATACTTATAAGTAATCAAAATACAATGTGTTTTGTGAAAGAGATTGAGAGTTCGGGGGTTGGTTATACAAAGGGAAGGTATTAACACCCAATGCATCTGCGGTACTCCGCAGGAACCTTTGAAATATATGTTTTTTGGTTAAAAATGGTTCGTTTGGTTAAAATGATTTGTTTGGTAAAAGTGGGTGTGAATGAGATTTTGAAGATACGACGACCTAGTGTCGAAGTTTTGACTTAAAAAGGTGAGTTTGAAAATGGAGTCTTTTGGGAAAATCATCTTAAGTTTAGCAAAATAGTAAACAAACAAAAAAATGAATGAGGGTATTCACACGATTGGATGAGATGTATTTGATGACGTGAATTCAACAAATTTAATTCTTTCCCTTAGAGTTTAGACGGGCGAAAGATACGAAGATTAAATGATCGAGAATAAAGTTAATTAAAATGACAATTAAACAATTAAATAACAAAAATTAAATAGAAGAATAATTTACACTGACATGTATTTTTGAATAATTAAATAAGTAACAAAAATTAAATAAAAAATTAATTTATAAACGCATGTATTTTTTATATTTTATTGTTCGATATTTTTTTAAGCGAGAATTAAACAACCTGATAACTAAAATAATTTAGTTAGATTAACTAAAAACCAAATAAAAATGAATAAACTGTAAAATCTAATCTAACTAAACTATGGAGTGCTAATTGGCATGAAGAGGTGTCAAGTTAGAATACTAAGTTCAAGAGACCCTAAATCAAATAAACCTTAATCTAATTTACACATGAAACAAACTGAATTATTAAAGTAAAAAAATTTATAAATTAGAAGAAACAAGGTTAAAAGGGGCGCTGCATCATGGATAGTTTCTTTTCAATAAATTTGTTATGTTTGACTCTTCCAAGTTCCAACTTCTAATAATAAGCATATATCATATGGCATAACATTATTAAATAACAATAGAAACCAATAATAATTTAACGAAAGAAAAAAAAAAGGTAGAAACTAACAATAGATCTCCAATTCTATCTCATAAGTCCCTTGTTTCTCAAAGTTCAGAATAACACGCCACTCTTCTTTTCAATACTCTTTCTCTCTCTTTATTTCTCGATCCACCCTCTACTTTCAGAATCAAACATCAAAATTTAAAGAATAACAAAATAATGTTTACCTACGACAGAAGTTTGGTGAGGCACGCGGAGGCTAGAGCACCACGGTGGTTGTGTTGGCATGCAGATGGAGAGCAGAGCTGCTACGACGCGGCGGTTAGGATGCAAGGACGGTTGGTCGGAGATCACAGTGATTGGAAGCTTCGTACGGTGATGTTTGGTACGGCGGCTATGAAGGAGGGTTTTTTAGCCGGCATTTTCGATGGTTGTTGATGGGTTTGAATGGAGGGAGTTGTCTATATTTCACAACGTCAGATTCAGAGCAGAAAGACTGTGTCATATGAAGGTTATGGTTTGTTGTTGTTTGTTCTGGATCGATCTTCTACAGGTACTTTGAAGGGTATTTTGTTTAATGGCACAGAGACTTTGGATTGAGGTGGAAGAAGGCTGAAACAGATTTTTTTTGTTGGTGATTTTCTGTGCTTATTGAACAAAGATTTCGAGGTGTTTTTTTATGTATTTCTCTTATGTGATATCTCCTCTTGCCTCCTCCTTTTCTGAGTTGATGGGAGCTTAAATTTATAGGGGAATACTGATGGAAATTGGGGGGGGGGGGGGGGGAAATTGGATAGGTTTCAACAGATACGGCTAACTGTTTTATGCCTTTCTTGTGCAGTAATAACAGGGTTTTTTTGGACTGGTGTGAACTGTTATGACAGGCTTAGCAGTTTTTTTTTAGAGTGTAGCATTTGGATTGGTATAGCAGGGTTTTATGGGCAACAAGATAGCAAGTTTTTGTTAGCATAACAAACTGTTTTGATAGTAGTATAGCAGTAACATAGGCTAATCTTGGCTAGGCATGACTTTGTACTGAACTGATTTTGGACTGTTTTGTGACTGTTTTGACAGGTCTTGTTGCAACTTTAGTTAAGGTTTTGAAACTGTTTTTGTGTTTTGAATATAAGGCTGCCATGAACTGGTTTTAAATGATGAAATAATGAAGCAAGGCAAGGCATGGCAACTTAAAGGTTGAGCATGAAGATTGAACTTGATGTTTAGGCTTGAAGATTAGGACTTTTGACAAATTTCATGTAATTTCTTTATATTTCAAAATGTAATAACATGATAATTTGTAACCACTTCATATTGCAATGAGCTTTGAATCTTGCATTGAACTCTTTGAATGGATATTGCAAAACATGAGTAGGATTATTCAAACTTAGACTCAACATTTAAATTGACTTTTGAAACTTGAATGAAAATATAACTTGAGCAAATTCTCTTAATGAACTCATGAAATATTCTTGTGATAATAAATTGGTTCAAAATACAAGATCAAAGTTGAGTGGTTTGTAAGGTTTTTGTCATATGATTTGAATTCTCATGATGTACTTGAAATTTGTGACATAAGAAATTAGAAATTCCTCTTGTAACACAAAAATGATGGTGATGTATCTTGGAACTTAAATCCAAACAAGTCTTGAATAATCCTAGTAGTGTAAATTATGTAAAAAAATGTGTTTGGGTTCTCAGTCTACACTTTGAATGAGATTTGAATGGTAGATGAATGAGTATCTTGTATTTGCTCCTCAAATTCCAAACAAATTATATGACTTGATCTTCAAAATTAAGTAAACTTCCATCATGAGAAATTAGTTCTTTTGTATATCTTGAATTCAAAAGCAAATTCATATGAATGAATTGCGCTTCGCGCACTTGAATCGATTTGAAATCAAAAAAAGAGTTATTCGAATTGTTCCTTAAATCTTCTTCTTTACAAAACCATATCATCAATTCATGGTAACTTTCCATACGAACCAATAATACAAATTGCGCCTCTAAGAGGTTTAACTAATAATCCACCTTAATCCAATGATCGCTAATGTTCAATTGCAAATGACTTGAGGCGGGCGACAAACAATTACTGAATCATTGAACTAGAACTCTAGTTTCATGAATTATCCCAACATAAGAATCAAACGTCTTTTGAGAAAACGTCTGTGGCATAAATTGAACCTCGATCTTTGAAGTAATCTCATAGACAACGCTACTTGTGATACTTCGCAAAAGAATCATCTCAGGATGTTGAAAATTGAAGAAGTCGTGACCGTTTGAACTTGAACTTGCAAGAGTTGACTTTTGGTCGAAATGCTTTGAATCGACTTGCAAACTTGATCTTTCTTCGCATTCTAAAGCATCTTGATGCACATGTAAACCAGTGATGATGAAATCTTGACTGTGCTTTGGGGAATTTTGGAAGAAGCTTGAGACCACTTATCGAACAAGGTGTGGAAATAATCACACGATCCTCTGAAGATCCTCGAGACCGAAGCTATCACACTTGAAACAACCCTGATCAAAATAAGCCTGAACAAAGCTTTAGAAGTCGTGTCTTGATGAATCAGTCTTCGAGAATCAATAATCAATTGTACTTCTGGCTTGAAGAACTCAAAACCCTAATTGAAGCGCAACGCCTGATGTCCTTGATTTAGACTTATCTCTGCACATGAAATCAAAGAAACAAAAAAACACACATTTCGTGCTTGATTAAAAGTTAGTGATACATCGGCTAAGAATGTTCAAAATACTTGACAATTTTCGCATAGTCAATGCTCGAAGGTGAGAGGTTAAAACCGACTGTATTTAGTGACCTTGACTTCTGTACAAAAATGCAAAAATAAAAATGGGATATTAGGTCAAAAATTGGGGTATGACACTTCCAAATACTGTGTTTGCCATAATGCGGTGTAGGAAGCGAATGTTTGGGTTGTGGATGTGAGAGGCGTAACGTGCTTCGGGAATAACATTTGGTTCACCGGTTATTCTCTCCCATAGTGCGTATGCACTTCCATTCTAATCCAATTCCTGGGGAATGTGATATTGCACATTATTTCCACGGGGAAAATGAAATATGTCACTCAAATTTTCATGGCTAAGTGTGTACTCTCGCTTGAACATCCGAAATTGAGTGGCTCCCGTTAGGTGTGCCTTGGCATCATCGCGAGTGTGATAGGCATAGGAGCTTAAGAATTCCAATGTTAGAGCTTCATAGGTAGGTGTGTTCATCGTGCTTATAAAGCTCAGGCCAGCTTTGTTCAGCAAGCCTTGCATATGGGTTTGCAACCCCAATTCTTGCAAGCAGTTGTTATCGACGAACCTCATGGATGTTAAACCTCGACGATGGAATTTTATGTACCTTTCCTTTTGAAGTTCACCTACTTCTCCTTGTCGGAGCACGAGATGTCGCATGTCGGGTTCGGGTTGGTTTGGTGGATTCCTTTGGGCGGCCATGATTTTGAACTTGATAGAAAAATGTATTTGTGATGAAGAGATGGAAGGTGGGTGGTAGTGATGAAAACTAAGGGATGGGGGAAACGTTTATATAGATGGTTTTTATTAAGTAGGAAATTGAATGAGGTTTATGGGAGAATTTTGAATATGAGAGGTTATGGAAGTTAAGGATGAATGGGTTAAATGGGGTAGTGGGGGTTTTAAAACCAAATTTCGTTCAAGTTTCGATGTGGTTCAATGGTCACGGGAATAGAAAACGTGGGAGACAAGCTCTGACGCTCGTCACGCGTTCCCTGGCGTTCGTCAGGGTCAAAGAGACAAGCTCTGACGCTCGTCACATGCTTCCTGACGTCCGTTAGGGTGTAATGGTGCGTGCATGTCTTTTGTTTGACCGCGTGCAGTAAAGCAGGGATTGATTAATTAATTTATTCATAGTATTGCAAGGGATATTTAGTGGCACATAGTAGAATCGGAGGAATGATAATAAATAAATAAGAAATAATTTAATTAAAGATAAATAATAACTGAATATGTAAAGTATGAAATGAAAATAAATAAATGCTTTGAAATAAATAGATAAATATGAAATAAATAGATAAATAGATATTTGAAATTTTTAGAACTGAAAGTAACAAAGTATTCGAAAGATATGAGTATAAAACAATAATGAGTATTAAGAATAATAATGAAACCCCCTCCCCCATACTGAGAACAAACAGTGTCCTCACTGGGGTGGCACAGAAACAAAACTATCGAGCACTAGGACCTCCTGGAGGTGGGGCAGTAGCGTGCAGATGCTGATAAATATGATCAAACTGCTCGGTGACGACATCCATGAAATGAAATAAGTTACTCCGAAGTGTGTTGATATGATCTTTAACGGTGGTGAGCTCTCCTCGGAGCGTAGTAACATATAACTGCATTGTCGTGATAACATGTGCATGATCATTCATAGGGACGTCGACAGCTTCGGTAATAAGGGGAAGTGTAGGGTATTCTGATGGAGTATAGTCATGGTAACCGGTAGGTGTGGACGGGTCACTCTCCTCCCTCTCAGGGTCATGTTCATCTATCTTTTCTAGGTTATATAGCCAGTTTTTCTTAGTATAGACACTTGTGTTCTCAGTGCTAGGCAAGAGGAAGTAATAGACAGGGTCATTTCGTACCAGCAGCTAAAAGTGAGGTGGATCGAGGTTACCAATTAAAGATATGTTAAAACAGAAGGGGATATCCATGGTATAGTATTTTCTGTACGGCGTAAGGCGTGATAAAGATGACCGCAGGGATAAGGCCTCGGCTATCATAGTGACTAGCCCGCCGACAAAGATAGGTCCATGGGTACACTGAGCTATAACAAACATGTTGGTGATCATAAATGATGCACCAATGACGGTTCTGGACTGGAAAGCACAGTAAATAATGAATAACTCATCCCTAGAAACTGAGAGTCTATTTATAGGTTTTCCAAAAAGGGTGAAAGCTAATATGTGGTGGAAATACCTAATTGCAGGGTTATGGATCTCAGTTGCATCTAGGCGGTCAGGGTCCTCAGGGTATTGGCCTGCTATATCCCTCCAAAAGTGGTTAAGTTAAAAATTAAGGTAGTCATCCTCCTGGGTTTCCATGTAGGCATCTATAGAACTAGGGAATCCTAGCAGCTCAGCAAGACAACAAACTGTAAATTAGTGGGTGAAGCCAAATAATCTGAAGGACATTTGTCCCCTACTACACCCTAGGCCTTGGGTGGGTTTATAAATGAGTGAGCTCAAGAACTCTAAGGTGAGGTTTTGATGTGTAGGGTATTTATGGGCAAGGAATCCTTCCCATCCTATCTGGTTGAGCAAAAAATATACACTCTCCCTGATGCCTAAAACTGTCAACATGGGATCATGCACATAAGTAGTCATGCTCATCTGGCGCTGAGCCAGTATCTCATACCGCCACTGTTGGGCCTCCGTGGCGAAGGTGATAGTATCTATAAATGAGTTTATCTTGTAAGTTCCTGTGAGTCGGTACTAAAATTTGTAAAATAAGAATGCAAATAAATAAAATATGGAATGGGAGAAAGAAAAAAAATCTGGGAATAAAAATCAGAATGCAAAATAAAAATATAAATAGATTTGAAAGAAATTAAATGAAAAACTTGTGGGTTGCCTCCCACACAACGCTTGTTTAATGTCGTTAGCTTGACATTGTTTTAGACGTGAATTAGTTTCCTAATTCGGGTCGTAGCTCTAATAGTGCTAAGCTCGCGGTGTAGTCCTTGTTTTCAACGCTGTAATAATGTTTTAAACGTTGGCCATTTACTAAGAACGGGTTCGTGGACTTTCCTTTAATCTCTATGGCACCACTGGGGAAAACTTTGGTCACTTCGAAGGGTCCAGACCATTGTGAACGGAGTTTCACAGGAAAAAGTTTTAGACGAGAGTTGAATAGGAGAACTACATCTCCTTCATTGAACTCCTTCCTTGAGATTCGTTTGTTGTGCCACTTTTTCGTCCTTTCTTTGTAGATCCTTGCATTTTCATATGCGTCTAATCTTAGCTCTTCCAGTTCGTTTATGTCGAGGATCCTTTTCTCACCTGCCGCAGTGTAGCTTAGGTTTAAAGTTTTTATTGCCCAGTAAGCTTTGTGTTCAATTTCCACTGGCAGGTGACATGACTTACCATAGATGAGTTTAAAGGGTGTTGTACCG